CACCACCCCAGGTCCCCCCAAAACCCACAAACCCCCCAGAATCCCTCACCTCAAACCCCACACAGCCCTGAGCCCCCTCCCCAGCCCTCCCCACGCCCCCCACCTCACCTGCTTGTGCAGCCAGCCCTGCATGGCAGGGGGGGTGCGGGGGTCCCTCCGCAGCGCCTGCTCCCCCTTTCCAAAGGCGTGGACCCTCGGCACGGGCCGGCAGGGCTGGGCAGGGGGGTCACCCATGGCAGGGGGCCAAGGAAGGGCCCCCCAGAAATCCCCCAGCCTTCCTACCCCAATTTATCTTTGTAGCCCACAATGTCCCCCCAGCTGCCCAGACTCCCCCTGTGTGCCCCATGATTCCCTATAGATTCCTGGGCTCCCCCAATGCTCCACATGCCCCTCTCTAGCTCCCTCGTGTGCCCAGAGTTCCCCAAAGTCCCCCCCCTGCCCCTACAACCTCCCCCCCCCAACCCCCAGTGGTTCCCCAGTTTCCCCCTCACGTCCCCCACCCCCTTTGCCCACCTGGGTGCGGGGGCCAGCGGGGGCGGGGTCCCGGCGGGGGGGGTCGTCGCTTTCTGCCATGGGGGGTCCTGCGGAGGCAGCGGGGGGCCGGAGGGGTCCCCATCAATGTCCCCATTGTCCCCGCGGGGACAGAGGCCCCTTTCTTCCCGCTGCGGGGGCGGGGGCTGCTCCCGGACGCCTGGGTCCCCCTGGGGGTGTCGGGGGGGCTTCTCGGCTCCCGCTGCTCCCTTCCCCCTCCTGCTCCTGCCCCGTCCCCCTGTGCTGGTCCCGGTTTCTGTCCAAGTAACCCTGAACTGGTCCCAGTTCCCATCCCAGTAACTGTGAGCTGGTGCCAGTCCTCCCGTGCTGGACTCAGTTTCCGTCCCGGCAGCTCTGAGCGGGTCCCAGTTTCTGTTTCGTTCCCCCGTGCTCGTCCCAGTTCCCAGCCCGTTATCCCACAGCGATCGGGGTGGCGGTCCCGTTCCCTTGCGCTGCTGACGGGTCCCAGCCCCCGCCCCATCACCCCAGCGACGGTCCCAGTTCCATTACCGCCGCTGCTTCTGCTCCCAGCGCCGGCCGGGGTCCCGCTATTGGTGCCAGTCCCTGTCCCAGTCCCAGTCCCAGCCGCAGTCCCAGTCCCGATCCCACCCAGTCCCAGTCCCAGTCCCAGCCGCAGTCCCGGTCCTGCCCCGTGTCCCCGCCCGCCCCGGGCGCTGGTCCCAGTCTCTGCCGCCACCCCCGGGTGCCCCCGGGACCGCGTGGGTCCTCTCGCCATGGCAACTACCGAGAGTGCAGCACCCCGTGTCCCCCAGGGAACCCCGTCCTGCGGGGACACCCACGGCACTGGGGACACCCGTGACGCGGGGTCACGGTACCGGGGACACCTCAAGGACCTCACGGACACACAAACCCCTCACATCTCAGCGATCCCTGACATCCCAAGGACCCTTATACCCCACAGACCGTACTCACCCTTGGACACCCCAAGGGTTCCTGACACTTCAGGGACCCTGGACATTCCGGGGATCCCGGACCCCCACAGACCCTGGGGACTCCGCTGAGCCCAGACACTCCACTGACCCTGGGACCCCGGACACCCGTCTGACCCTCCAGGGAACCCGGCTTCCCCACGGACCACACAGAGACGCCGGACACGCCCGGATCCGAACACCGCGCGGACCCCTGACACCTCACGGGCCCCAGACACGCCAGGGTCACCTGACACCCTCCCGTGTCCCGGTGTCCCCGTATCCCCCGTGTCCCGGTGTCCCTGTGTCCCGTGTCCCCGTGTCCCCCACGCCGGGTCCCGGTGCTCGTCCCAGCAAGCAGAGCGCTCCGCCTGCCGCTAGAGGGCGACACCTCCACGCCCAATCGCTTCCTCACACCGCTCTTAACGGCCCCGCCTCACCCCGCCCCTTCCCTTGAGCGGCGTCCAGGCTACCCAATCACAGACTATTCTGCTCCCGCTTCTCCAGCACACCCCTTTCTATTGGCTGCGATGTGCGGCGGGGACGGACGCACTGCGCGGCGCGGCCAATGCCACGGCGGAGGGGGCGGGGCTAGGCCGCCATGGCGCCGCCGCCGCGCTGACCGCGCTGCGCCGCCATGGCCGGGGCTATCGCGTCCCGCATGAGCTTCAGCTCCCTCAAGCGCAAGCAGCCCAAGACCTTCACCGTGCGCATCGCCACCATGGACGCCGAGATGGAGTTCAGCTGCGAGGTGACGGCCCGCGCGGGCGCGGGGTCCCGCTGAGGGGGACGGGCCCCCCAGACCCCCCCACAGCCTGAGGGGCCCGGAGCCCCCTCCCGGTCCCCCCCATCCTCCGCCGGTTCCCGGGGCCTGCCCTGGGCCAGCAGTGGCACAGCCTTGTTTTGGTTATAAATCGGCGTTATCCTGGTGTGATTTTGGTTATAATTGCCCTTTATTCTGGTAATAATTCGGCTTTTTTTTTTTTTTTTGGTTTTTTTTTGTTGTTGTTGTTGTAATTCACCTTTACTTTGGTTATGAATCGGTGTAATTTGGCTTTACTTTGGTCATAACTTGGCTTTGTTTTGGTTGTGATTCAGTGTTATTGTGTGTCTAATTCAGTTGCAGCCTGGTTATAGTTTGGCTTTATTTTTGTTATCATGAATCCTTCTCGTGTGTGTAATTCAGCATTGTTTTGGTCATAAATTGGCGGGTTTTTTTCTGGGTCTAATTTGGCTTTATCCTGGGTATAATTTGGCATTATTCTGGTTATAATTCATCCATATTTTGCTTATAATTCAGCCTTATTCTGGCAATAATTCATCTTCACTCCAGGTGTAATTTAGCTTTATTTGGGTTATAATTTGGCTGCATTCTGTTTATAATTCAGTCTCATTCTGGGCGCAATTTGGCATTATTCTGCTTATAATTCATCCTATACTTTGGCTATAATTCAGCTTCATTCTGGGTATAATTCAGTTTTATCCTGGTTATAATTCAGCTTGATTCTCATTACAATCCAGCTTCCTTTGGGCTCTAATCCAGTGCTGTCCTGCCATCCCAGCCCAAGTCACCACTATGCTGTGGCTGTCACAGGCCTTGAGGAATCTCAGTGCCAAGGCTTGAATCCACAGGAATCCAACTCCCAAGTGCTCCACAAACGCCCAGGAACAGAATTTTGGCATTTTCCTGAGCTCTTAGCTCACCATGAGGCTGAGAGATGCTCCAGGGGGTTGGGTCTGGCTTGTCTGTGATAATTTCCCTTTTTGGGGCCCTTGGAACTTGTAAAACCTTCTCCCAGGGCGTTGCTGCCAAACCCTGGGATCTGCTCTGCTTTTTCAGCTGGTCCAGAGGTCTTGGCCACACAAACACTGAAACCCAGTCCAGCCTCTGCATTTAGTAGTTTATATTTCATTATCCTGACCCAAACCCTGAGGGGCTCCCAGCGCCCATCAGCCAAGGGGAGTTTGTCATCACCGATTTCCCTGCTCTGCAAATCTGCTCTCAGCCCTGAAGAACTTCCTGCTTTTCCTAGGGATTGAGGATTTGCTCTGGGCAGCCGTGTGAGCTTCCCACTTCCAGCAGAGTGTGAATGTCCTGGCTCTGGTTTTGTTGGTTTCCCGAGGCTGCAGCAATAACTATAAAGTAAATAATTGTGAATTTTGGTGTTGTGGCCGGGTGTCACTTCCCACTGGGATCAGGGGTCTTTGAGGCAGCACTCCTGTGGGATTTGGCTGTGGAGCTGCTCCATCTCCAGCTGACTTTTCTGGGAGGATCCTGCCAAAGGAACTTGTTGCTGCAGACTCCTGCAGCTGGAAGGAGCTCAGGAGCTGCTGAGGACTCCTTGTGTTGGAGCTGGTGCTGGGGGGATGCAGAAGGAACTCAGGCCTCGTCCTTCAGCATGGAATATTGGAGCAGGAGAGGGGATGGATGGATGGATGGATGGATGGATGGATGGATGGGACTGTTTCACACCTTGCAGGTGAGGAGTGAGTTTTTATGGAAACCTGGAATGGTTTGGGTGGGAAGGGACCTTAAAGCTCATCCAGTGCCACCCCTGCCATGGCAGGGACACCTTCTACTGTCCCAGGCTGCTCCAAGCCCCAATATCCAGCCTGATCTTGGACACATCCAAGGATCCAGGGGCAGCCACAGCTGCTCTGGGCACCCTGTGCCAGGGGCTGCCCTCCCTCCCAGGGAACAATTCCTAATTCCCAATATCCCATTCCATCCCTGCCCTCTGGCAGTGGGAAGCCATTCCCTGTGTCCTGTCCCTCCATCCCTTGTCCCCAGTCCCTCTCCAGCTCTCCTGGAGCCCCTTCAGGCCCTGCAAGGGGCTCTGAGCTCTCCCTGGAGCCTTCTCCTCTCCAGGTGAGCACCCCCAGCTCTCCCAGCCTGGCCCCAGTCCCTGGAGCATCTCTGTGCCTTCCTGGGCTTGCTCCAAGCCCAGGGCAGCCCAGCTGGAGCTGTGGGTTTTATCCAAGCTCCATCTGAGCAGGGCAGCTCCCTGGCTGGATCTCTGTCCCAGTTTTTGTGTTGCACTTGGGAGGCTCTGGGGAAAGCTCCTCGTTGTGCTGACTCTGCAGAAAGATCCATGGGACAGAGGGACCAGACACACCTCCAGTGGCCGGGGTAGGAAGGTGGCCCAGGGAAGGGCTTGGCTTGCTCTACACCCACAGTGAGACCTGGAGCCAGGAGTGGAGTTTGTGCCCTCCTGAGAGGCAGTGGCGTGGCAGAGTTGATTTTTGGGACAGACCATGCTCCTCCCTGAAGGAATCTGGCCCCTATCCCAAAGTTTGCCAGGAGAAGAGTGAGCAGTACTGTTTACCCAGCTATCTGTGTGCTTTGAGGTGCCTTTGGCCAGGAGGGAGAGGGAATTCTGCCTCACAAACACTTGAGAGTTTCAGTGGAAGCAGGTGCAGTGGGAATCCTGTGGTTTGGGGGCTCTTCAGATGTGTTTTTGTGACCTGTGAGTGGCACCTCATGCTGACAGGGACAGAGAGCTGCTGCTCTGTTGGATGTCTGGGGTTGGTCTTCCATAATCCCTGGGAGTTCCTCCCAGCTCAGGATATTCCATGACCCAGCTGTAGCTGCTGGAGGCTCACCTTCTTTCTCAGTGCTAATTTTTCAGTCTGCTCCCTAGCAATCCCCAGCTGTGCATTTTAAGGGATTAAACCTGCTTTGCATCTGTTTATTCTACAGTTGATGTCTCTAAATTGAACCTAAATCTAAAATAATTCCTCGAAATGAAATCTTAATATTTCTAACACGGCAATGGAGATTAATAATCACTGTTGGGGTTTCATTTTAAAGACTTCAAATTTGTTTGGGGAAATCTTGGAGGCACGAAGCGAGTGTCTTCCTTTTGTTACTTCTATCTCAGAGGTTTGAGCTGTACCTAATTAACTGATAACATCTGGAGGAAGGGTAGACATTTGCATGGCTCTTGAATCCCTGTGCTAAAGCATCCCCAGCTGCTGCCTCACCTTCCTGAGAGCCTTGGACAGCCATGGGGAAGCCTCTTCCCTGTGAGGCTGTGGCTGCCTCTGGATCCCTGGCAGTGTCTAAGGCCAGGTTGGAGAGGCTTGGAGCACCCTGGGATACTGGAAGATATCCCTGTCCAAGGTAGGGAGGTGAAACAAGATGGGCTTTCAGTCCCTTCCAACCCAAACCACTCCATGAGTTTCGCAGTAACGAAAACCCTGTGGTGTTTTTGAGTGCACATCCAAAGCACTGTTTATCCCACCTCTGGTGGGATGGCAGAGTGTGGTGCAGCTGATGGCAGGTTGGTTTCCCCACCTGCCATGTGCAGTTTTTTCCCTCTCAGAACCAAGTTCCCTGGCTGTGGGAGAATCCCTCCATCTTTCTTTTCGTCTCCTGGGTGTCTTTGCCAGTTTCTTCCTCTTTCAGTGCTCAGCCCTGTTAGTGTCTCTCCATCTCAGAGCCACGGCCCATTTTCCAAAGGGTTTGTTTTCCCCTTTCTGTTGTGTTGTGATTTTGGGCTTGAATCCTGCAGGGATGGTCACTCCATCAAGGTGCAGCTCGCTGCCCAGCTGCTTCCCAGCCTTTATCTTTTGGTATCTTAAAAAAGAATTGGAAAAGCTTTACAGCCAGCCCGGAGAAACAGCTTAAGTGTTCAAGCAGCGAGAAGAGGCAGGTTTGTGCTGATGTATTTGCTGGTCTAAACATGCATGCAGTTATTGCTTCAGTGCTTAAGCTGTTCCTCTCTGTCCAGAGGATAATCCTGGTTGGAAGGGATCTTTATTTTAGCCCAGTGCCCCACTCAGTGCAGGGCCAGTTGGATGTAAAGCCCTTGTAAGTAGAAAAGTCCTGATTTCGGCCACGTGTGGCCAAGTGCTGTCCCTTTGTCACCAGACACAGGAACTTGTGTAGCTGAGCTGCAAAGCTCATCTTCTGGAACAGGAACAACCAAGGATTTGGTGGTGGAAATCTGGGTGGAAATGAGTTTTTGAGGAAGAGCTGGTGCAGTAAATCCGAGCTGAGTTTTGAGCTGTGTCCAGTCACTGCACCAAAATGAAAAGGCAGGAGGAGGAAATCAGGGAGCGGAATGCCCTTGGCTTCCTTCTGCATTGCAGGATACTTGGAAGGAAGGGGGTTTATAAAGATCCATACATTCTCAGTTTCAGGCAGCAGGGTGCTGGTAGGGACAGTGACCTCTTGATGCTGCAAAGCTTCTGTGAGTGGACACAAACTTAACAGGAAAAGAGCAGTCTGTGTGCAGGAACAGCTGTTTAAAAAGCTGAGAGAAATAATCCCCCTCAGCTACAACTTGATCCCAAATAAATTGTTGGGATACCAGCTGTCAGGTCCATGTTTCCTTCCTCCATGTGCCTCTGTGTCCTGATCTTGTGGCATCACTCAGGAGCACGTGCTGCTCTCTTTGAATCTGAGACACAGCAGGTAAGGGCTTTTTCCTCACTCATGTCTCGGAGGGGTTTTATTCCCCAAAACCTCAGAATTTCTGATTCACAACAGTGACGTTTGGGAGTTGATGTTTTGGAGGTGTCTTCCTTGGTGCAGTTCATTCCCTTAAGTTGTGCTTGTGACTTGTGGACATGGATCCTCTTTGGCTTCGTTGCCTCACCCTGCACCTGAAAAGTTCTCTGGATCCCCTGCTCCCGTCACAGCCTCTTCCAAGCCAGTAGGAAACTCTTGTTACTTCTCTCCAAAGACTGTTCAAAACTGCTGTCAATCCCCAGACTCTGTTAATTAATCCAGAGATGTGTTGATGC